CTTGGCTGCCTGTGACGCCTCACTGTTTGAACAACACGTAACTTGTCTTTAATTGCTAGGACATCTTTCCTCTTACACTTCCAGAACGATGATGCTGCTACCAGACATATTCTTGGCCAAAAATGTTCAAAATTACTATGAAAAATAAGAAAGTTATTTAAAAAAATATTTCACTAATGGCGCAACACTGTGAGGCCGCACTGGTTGAGGCGTATAACTGGGACTTGTCTTTAATTGTTAGGACAATTATATACATACTTATATATAACGGATCACAATCGACTTGGGAATGGTCCAGGACGGACCGAAACGTCGTCGTCCCTTCAATTTCTAGTGTGTGGTCTGGTCAACATTGTTAGGACAACTTTCTTCCTCTTAACACCTCCAGAACGATTGATGCTGCTACCAGACATAGTCTTGGCCAAAAATGTTCAAAGTTACTATGAAAATAAAAAAGTTATTTAAAAAAATATTTCACTAATGGCGCAGCACTGTGTACAGTGGTACCTTGGAATGCGATTGTCCCTGTATGCGAGGTTTTCGGAAGGCGAGGTGTATTTACTCCAAAAATTTGTCTCGGAAGGCGATGGTTACTCGGGGAGGCGAGTTTGGACGCGAGTTTGTTGATACGCGTACAGCCGACCTAGCGCGTGGTGGGTTGGTGGGCGATCGTCGCCCCATCCGCCCCGCGCCCCTCAGTTTATTATTGTCTCGCGCTCAGTGACTACCCCCACATCAATTCTTCTCGCGGATTTTCAGTGTTTTGTTGGATTTTTGGTGATTTGTCTATACAATTTGTTATTATATATCTCACCATGGGTCCCAAGAAAGCCAGTGGTAAGGATAAAGGCCAGGCCAAGAAAGCTCATGTGAGGATGACAATAGAGGAGAAACAAGAGATCATTCGGAAGCATGAGAACGGTACACGTGTTGTTGAACTTTGTAGGCAGTACAAACAAAGCCACATCAACAGTATGCACTATACTTAAGAAGAAAAATAAGATTATGGGTGCTAAAGTGGCAAAAAGGAGTAAGAACATTAACGGGCACAAAGACCACAAATACTTGAAGAAGTTGGGGAAAAGTTGTTATTAATTTCGATACACGACAAGGAGTTGAGGGGTGATAGTGTTTCGGAGGCCATTATTTGTGAGAAAGCCAGGGTGTTGCACGAAGACCTAAAGAATACCCCCTGCAACGAGTGATGCAGATAAGAAAGAGTTTAAGGCAAGCAGGGGCTGGTTTGAAAAATTTAGAAAGAGAAGTGGTATCCATAGTGTTACAAGGCATGGGGTTATGTGATGGATTATGGAAGGGGACTCCCCTTCCAAACAGTAACTCCTACTCCTCCTCCCCCCTCCTCACCATCTTCCATACGCCTACAGCACTCGACAGCAAGGTAAGTAATAACTGGAACACAGTTTTGTAGGTTATTTAGATGAATTAGGTATAAAAAATTTAGTTTGATGTGGGGTTTTGGGGGTAGTCAGGAACGGATTAATTCATTTCCCTTTATTTATTATGGGGAAATTAACTTCGGAATGCGAGTTTTCGGAAGGCGAGGCGTCTCCAGGAACGGATTAAAACGTCTTATTCTGAGGTATGCCTGTATAACACGAGGGGACGGACGCACATGGGTTGACCAGTGTTGGAAGGTCCACTTGAGGCAGCCATAGCGTTACGTAGGCCGCCAGGAGGAAAAAAATTCACAATATTTTGAAGGAAACTTCAGCCTGTGCACAATGCTTTTAGGAAAACTATTTATTTGTTATTACATAATTACTAGTAGTTATTTTATTTGTTTTGGCTATGATTAATTGTTCTAAAATTAATGGTAATTCCTGTACCCAGTAGTCCCTCCTGACGCACCCCTCCCACCCTCCCAACACTACCCACCCACCCCACCCCCACCTACACAATGCGCCTCGAGTCTCGGGCAGACGGGATTAATACCGTATGGCCTGCCTCATGTTTCATATACGGACAAAGGCACGATTATCTGGGGGACTGACCGGATGTGTAATTTCTGCAGAAAACCTGCTTTAATCCGGTCCCTGTGGCTATTTTGGGCGGATATTGTGATAACTTTATCCGTTCACGATTTTGGCCGTATAAGGGCGTTTTTCGGATGTTCGAATCCCGGATAATCGCGGGGTTACAGTATATATATATATATATATATATATATATATATATATATATATATATATATATATATATTTATATTATATTTATTTATTTATTTATTTAGGTAGCAGTCTTTCTTGTAAAACATATGTTGTTAAATATGACCGAAAAAGTAAGATTAATAATTCTAACATGAATTTTCTCAATATTTCTTATGTTTCTTTTTACTGTTGATGGTAATTGAAAAATCAGTTCTCCAAAATTCATTTTTATTTCTAGTCTGACGTAATGCTTGAACGCATTTCGTAATAACGTATTACATTTTCAAAGATTTTAGTTTATACACACACACAACTTGTAACCTGAAAACACTTAACACTATCGGTTATCGGGCATGCGCGCGGTCAACTTAGGGGTCATGCACCCAACGTGCGGGCGAGCGTACGGGTAAGCGCACGGTGACACCTAAATGTGTACAGCGCCTGTATACTCGTTTCAGCTTTCTCACCTTAATTCTCGTGCTATGTCGCTCGTTTTGGTATCACTGTGTTTGCAATTAAATTCCCTACAGGTGTGTATAAATATAATGTCCAAAAGCCTGGTGTGACTCCCAACAGCAAAGCCTAAAGTCTGCAAAAGTTACCTGTGAATGCACAAAATCAGTAAAATGTACAAACTTGTTCCATTTTTCTCACCTTAATTCTCGTGCTACGTCGCTCGTTTTGGTATCATTGTGTTCGCAATTAAATTCCCTACAGATGTGTATGAATATAATGTACAAAAGCCTGGAGTGCCTCCCTGCAGAAAAGCCTAAAGTTACCCGTGAACGAGCACCAATTTGTACACTGCAACCTAATGTGTATTCTCGTTCAGTTTGATAACATCAATTTTCGTGTTACGTCTTTCATTTTGGTATCAATTTGTTCGCAATAAAAGGTGCGTATTTTAAAACTAGTCCCATAATAATAAAGCAATAACTGGAATTTTAACAAATATTTTAATTCTGAAAGCTCATCATCACAAAATTATTTATATCTTTCCAGTGTTCTGACATAAATTTTTGTGTTACATCCTTCATTTTGGTATCAAATTGTTTGCGACGTAAAGGCGCGCATTTTAAAACTAGTTCCAACATAATAGCATAATAAATAGAACTTTAACAAATATTTTAAAATTTTGACCAAAAACCTATTTATAATCTTACAAGTGTTTGGACATCAAGTTTCATGTTACATCTTTCATTTTGGCATTAAATTGTGCGAATTCTAAAGGCGCTTATTTTGATACTATTCCTAGGTCGATTGGATAAAAAATGAATTTTATACAAATATTTTTGTAGTGGATGCAAGTCCGGTTCAAAGTTAGGATTCAAGAGCAAAATAATGGCAAAAATAGGCATAAAACTAGAAGATAGAAGAAAATGAGACTATATGATCACTACGTACAAAATAGTAACAGGAATCGATAAAATTGATAGGGAAGAATTCCTGAGACCCAGAATTTCAAGAACAAGAGGTCATAGATTTAAACTAACGAAACAAAGCTGCCGGAGAAATATAAATATATATATGTGTATATCACAAAAATAAACACGTGATTAAAAATGTGACAATGTCAGACCACGGAGGAAAAATAAAACAGGAATTTCCTTAAGTACTTTCGTATATTAATACATCTTCAGAAGGAGAAGGAGATGACTCCTTCTGAAGATGTATTAATATACGAAAGTACTTAAGGAAATTCCTGTTTCATTTTTCCTCCGTGGTCTGACATTGTCAAATATAAATATATATATATATATATATATATATATATATATATATATATATATATATATATATATAGATATAGATATATATATATATATATATATATATATATATATATATATATATATATATATATATATATATATATATATATATATATATATATATATATTATATATATATATATATATATATATATATATATATATATATATATATATAGATATATATATATATATATATATATATATATATATATATATATATATATATATATATATATATATATATATATATATATATATATATATATAATATATATATATATATATATATATATATATATATATATATATATATATATAATATATATATATATATATATATATATATATATATATATATATATATATATATATATATATATATATATATATATATATATATATATATATATATATATATATATATATATATATATATATATATATATATATATAATATTAATATGAAAATTCACTTTTGTAAACAGAGTGGTAGACAGTTGGAACAAGTTAGGTGAGAAGGTGGTGGAGGCCAAAACCGTCAGTAATTTCAAAACGTTATATGACAAAGAGTGCTGGGAAGATAGGATACCACGAGCGTAGCTCTCATCCTATAACTACACTAATGTGTAGTTACTTAGGTAATTACACAAACCTGTTTGTCATTCTCTGTGTACCCATCCTCTTCCTTTTTCTGTTTCATCACCAGTTCTTTCACTGTTGTCTTCCTCACGATGTGGCTGTATAGCAGTTTTCATAGGGTCTTGGCTATATTCGCCATATCTTTTTCAAACTGACTCTCTGCTTCTCTCCTCACACTGAGGTACCCCTTTTCTGGCCCTCTGGTATATCTCTCTGCTCTCTGGTGTCCAGTTGTTTCTATAGTTTCTCCATGCCCTTGTGATTAGCTGCATTGCTTCCTCACATGCCTGATTGAACCATGGATTCTCCTTTTGCTTTTCGCTTTTTTCTGTGCCGGGATAAACCTGTTTTCTGCCTCCTGACACTTGTGTGTCTTAGGCGTGTGTGCGTGCGTATGCAGTACAGTATGTACATATAATGGTTTTATTTTGTTTCAGGGTGGATAACATAAAATGGTTGGCACTGAGTTGAAGAATGAAGAGATCTCTACAAGATAATGAAAAATGGGAATTGGAGAGAACCCATCCTTCTGTGAAACAACAAAATACATCTTCATTGGTGGAAAGCAATGCAACACCTCAAACTGAATCAACTGAGGGAGGAGACTGCTCCATTAGGGAAGTAGATCAATCTTTGCAAGTGCCTGCTTTAGCTTTTACTTCAGCAAATTTTGTGTCTAAAGCAGTTGCAACATCAAGTTCTTTATTGTTAACTCCCATTTCATCAGGTGCAAAACTATTTTGCAAAGCAAATGCAGCTACGTTAAACAAAACAGCTACAGCTTCAGTATCTACTGTAACAGCAGCAGCTAAACTGCAAGCAGCTTCTGAGATAGTCGCTACCAAAACGGTTACTTCTGCAATCCCTTGCACAAAAACAGTATTTGCTTCAACATCATTGATATGCTCACCTTCATCTACTACACTGAGTAAATCATTTGCTATTAATAAAACTAGTACACTTATATCTTCTTCACTGCCTATATTGTCAACAAGAAATAAGATTCTACATATTATTGCTAAAACAGAAAGTATTCCATCATGTACTGTGTCTAATGTTGTGTCTGAGATTTCAGCATCATCATTGGCTACAATATCATTTACTACTGCTTCCATACCAGCTTTACCAGTGTCTACAGCTGCTACAATTTCATCTCTAACTGTTCCTGTTTCTAGTTCGTCTGATCCTATAGCAATAAAAGCTCCTTTGTTTGCTGGAATTAAACCAACAGTTAATACTTCATCACCTTCATCTCTTTCAGCGGATTCTCTTGTATTACCGACAGCTACACCCTCAACCTCCATATCAATTCCTACATCTTCAACTCTCTCATCTCAGTCTGCTATAAAGTCATCTGCTATATCAACTGTTCCATTGTGTGTAGCTTCATCATCTCTTTCAGTGCCATCAGTTGAATCATTAGTTAAGACTGCATCGTCATTATCCACATCTGGTAGTGTTGTGGCCTCGTTGAGTATTAATAGTAACTTGGCCCCAGTATCTGCCTCTTTATGTCCTTTGCATCTACTGGCATTGTCATCAGAATCTTCATCTGATTCATCCAATGATTCAGTGGGTGTTGTGCCTGTGACTTATTCAGCAAGTGGGGAAGGCTCTGTCACATCTCTTAGCTTTACAATGCACACCATAAACTCCTCTATGCCATCAGGCCTATCATCGGATAATCCTAATTTTAACATACAGGGGAATCATTCTTCAGCTACAAGTTTGTTTACAGATTCCCTTAGGCATAATACATTGACAGTAGATAGATTTGCTGAGACATCTAACTCTGTACCACACATAGCATCATTGTCATCATTACCTACAGCTGCCTCCCATGCTTCTAATTTAAGACCCCCAAATTTAAGTAATGGACATCTTGCATTAGGTTCTTTGAGACCACAAAATCAGCAGGTTGAATTGGAAGCATTTGAAGAAAGACTGATTAGTGATCATAATTTAACTGAAAATTTACTTGAAGACCCAAGCTTATCACTGCTGACATCAGCACCTTTAACTACAGCTCAAGATGAAGTGGAAGCTCAGGCCTTACTGAGCAGGGATGAGGAACGTAAGCTCAAAGAGAAGTATTTACTCCAGTCTGGTAAAGGTAAGTCATATCATTAGAAATCTCGAAATTTTTGCAGAATTTGTAAAAATCACAATACTGTAACAAAACTACAAAATAGGTTGAGTATAATTAGACCGTCCATATATATTAAATTATTTATACATTAAAGAATTGACCAAAATAATAGAATTTGGGAAAAGATTGACTTTGGATAATTGTTTAATACAATACATGTGATTGGGTTAGATCTATAGTTAGCAAGCAGAGTTGATGGTACACACCATCATTTTAGGCAGTGTTGTGGCCAGACAGGGAGGTCGGACCCAGTGTTCACGCGGTCACCAGTTCAAACTTTTTTTTTTTTTTTTTAGTTGGAAGTGAGCATCATCATCACTGAAGAGTCACACTGCTGCAGGCTTCAGGATAATTCAAATTATCTAAATGTGGGGAGTAGGGTGAGGGTTGCAAGTGGTGTCCCAGAATACATGAAGGTGTAGGGAATTTGAAAATAAACTAAGAGATAAGAAATACAGTGGAGCCTCGATTTACGATGGTAATCCGTTCACAGGCGTATCATAAGTCGAAATATCGTGAGTCGAAGAGATTTTTCCCATAAGAAATATAGGGAATTGAATTAATCCGTTCCCCACCCTCCAAAATATTAACTTATAAATACATTTTATACTGAATACAATTTTTTTCTCTAACTAAAATACAGTACATATGTTTATCTTACCTTTATGGAGGACTCTTGATGGCGTATGGAAGATGGTGATGAGGGGGAGGAGGAGAGGTGTTACTGTTTGGGAGTCCCCCTTCCATTATAACATCAGGCAGTGATGACTTTTCTGGGATACACTCTCTGGCATGTTTTGCCCCCATACCACAAGGACCTGCTTGTGGTTCACTGCTTGCTTGTCTTACTAAGAATCTGTCTAAAGACACTTGTTTTACCCTACATTTTAACACTTGTCTGTAGTAAGACATCACATTGTTATTTAAAGGTCAATGCAATGGCCTGGTACAGCTTTATCTGGGTGAGTTTTTTCAACAAAACTTTGCAGTTCTTCCCATACTTCACACATTTTCTTAATGAGGAAGGGACATCCTCTACTGCCTTTACTCACAACTATTTTCTTAGGTTGAACCTTACCATTGACTTTCTTGGGACCCATGGTGTGTTATATAATAATCAGTTTTATGTTCAAAAAGCAAAAAATCACCACAAAAACAGAATTTCTTATAGGCGTGATCGTCACTAAGCAGGTAGCTCTAGTAAACTGAGGTAGGTCACCCGGCCCGTGTGACCGGGAACCATGCGCTTGGTCGACCCAAACTTGTACCAACAAATATCGTTAGTCAACGACACTATCGTAAGTGGAGTCGCATTTTTCGATGAAATTTACATCGTAACTCGAAATTATCGTAAGTTGCGGCAATCGTAAGTCAAGGTGCCACTGTAAGTGGTAGTGAATCAAAAATCTTGGGTAGAAAAGTTGATCTTTCGAAACAGCAGAATGTCAACAAAGATGGTCCCACCACAGGGGAGGACAGTACCCAGCAAGGGAATATTTTGCAGGTTTCTCGCAACAAGATATAATGAAAGGTGGTTTTCTTGGCAGGTTAGTGATTGTTGAGGACATGCTAAAGAATTATGAAGAAAAGGTTATTAAATTAGAACAAGAAAATGAAGGTATCAAGATTGAGTTTTGTAATTTAAAAGGAAGTATTTTCCAGCAAGGTAAGGAAATTTCCAGTTTGACTGATAAGATGCAGGAGGAACACATCAAGTAACTAGTAGAGGAAAATGAGGCATGGAAAGTGAAGAGTAGGGAATTTGAAGAAATTAACAAGAAAATACTCATATGGTGAACAACTCGGAGGGAGCCTGAGGGCTAACATGGAGTTAGGCAAGGAGATGCAATGATAAACCTCATTGGCAACTCAAATAGAGGAGGCTAATAAAGAATTAGAAAAAGTATAAAGAAGAAATAAGAGAGACAATGAAGGAAGTGTGAATGGAAGTCAAAACCAGAAATGACCAACAAGAAGCAGAAATTAGGCAAGGAATTAGGAAAGAACTGGTTACCAACAGTAAACTACAATATCCACTTGATTTAACGGCCTATATGGGGTTGTACCCTGGTCGTTATTTCCAGAGCTCCGGTATTTCCGAAGTTAAATGTCGGTAATTTTTTAAGTAACATTCAGGTAAGATATATTTTATACAGACAGCCACTGGGTCCACCACTCTAGTGCCTTCTACCCTGTGACATCACAGATTCACGGCACATTGTTTTGATTTGTCATGAGGCTGGAGTATTCATTCCGTGACTTTGTTGGACATATCTGCACAATCAAGGAACATCTGTGCACCATGTCGGCTCCAAATGCACTCGTTGTGTCAGTGATGGCTGACTGGTGGGTGGATGGGCAGGCAGGCAGGCAGGGATGGAGAGGCTGAAATGTAGGCAGGCAGGCAGGAAGAGGCTGAGAGGTAGGCAGGGAAGGAGAGGCAAGGAGGAAGGGAGGGAGGCTTAGCTTGGGAGGGAACCAGGCAGGGAGGTAGAGGCAAGGAGGGAGGGAGGTAGACAGAGCTTGGGAGGGAGGCAGGCAGAGGCTGGGTGGTAGGCAGACAGGGAGGGAGGTAGGCAGGCAGGCAGGCATAGGCTGGGTTGTAGGCAGGGAGGGAGAGGCAAAGAGGGAGAGAGGCAGGCAGAGCTTGGGAGGGAGGCAGGCAGGCAGAGGCTGGGTGGTAGGCACGGAGGGAGAGGCAATGAGGGAGGCAGGCAGAGGCTGGGTGGTAGGCAGGGAGAGGCAAGGAGGAAGGGAAGCAGGCAGAGCTTGAGAGGGAGGCAGGCAGAGGCTGGGTGGTAGGCAGGGAGGGAGAGGATGGAGATGGATGGTAGGATGGAGAAGGATGGAGGGAGGGAGAGAGGGATGGAGCTATGGTTGTTGAGGTGAAGCAGACAGCGTGTATGGGAAGTATGGGGGGGGGGGGCATGTGGGGTGGGGGTTGTCGGTGGTGGGGAAGGGACCGGCTCACTGATAAGCCTAACACATTTGACCCAGTTAACCAGATGTTTGGATTTATTATTTATTTATTTATATACAGGAAGGTACATTGTGTTTGTGAGAATACATAGCATAGTATTTATAATCTTGTAAAGCCACTAGTACGCGCAGCGTTTCGGGCAGGTCCTTAAGCTAACAGATAATTTTAAGTAGGTAAATTGTAGCAGAATTAATAAAATGATAACAGAAACATTGCAAGAAAAAAATGAGATGAGAGAGATTAGTAAGTATATTTAAGCACATTGGTATATAAAAGCTCTGATTGATTACATTGACACCTTGATTGGTAATTTAAACATGATTAATAGACACCATACAGCAAATTGATAGCACATTTAAGAAGACAGCCATGATCACAATGGTAAAGTTGTTTGGATTGGGTACATGAAGATTGGGAGATTGGGTAGCAATAGATACAGTGCAATTTTAAAGCAAGGTAAAAAACTATGAAGATGAAATTAGGTACTTTTTAGTTTTGTTTTTGAATGACACAAAAGTTGGACAGCTTTTCAATTCATTAGGGAGTGAGTTCCATAGACTAGGTCCCTTTATTTGCATAGTGTTTACACAGATTAAGTTTGACTCTGAGGATATCAAAGAGATATTTATTTCTGGTGTGGTGATAATGGGTCCTATTACATCTGTCCAGGGAGAGTTTCAGAGCAGGATTTGCATTTAAGAACAGGGTTTTGTAAATGTAGTTGACACAAGAGAATTAGTGGAGTGAGATTATGTTTAGCATGTTTAGGGAGTTAAACAAGGGGGCTGAGTGTTGTCTGAAAGCAGATTTTGTTATTATTTTGATAGCAGATTTTTGCTGGGTGATGATGGATTTGAGGTGGTTTGCAGTGGTAGACCCCCATGGACAGATACCATAATTACGATAGGGATAGATTAGTGCATAATATAGAGAGATGAGAGCAGAATTAGGTACATAATATATGATTTTAGAGAGTATATCAACGGTTTTAGAGACTTTCTTAGTTATGTGTTGTACATGGGAGCTGAAGTTGAGTCTCTTGTATAGGAATAGGCCAAGAAACTTACCATCATTTTTATAACTAATGTTTACGTTGTCTATCTGAAGCTGAATTGCATTTGTAGATTTGCTTCCAAATAAGATCCAAATGTAGTAGGTATTTTCTATGTTAAGGGTTAGTTTGTTGGTTGACATCCATAAGTGGACTCTCTTTAGTTCATTATTAACAACATTATTTAGTGTATGTGGGTTGGGGTTAGAGTAGATGAGGGTAGTATCAGCAGCAAACAATATAGGTTTCAGAATGTTAGAGACATTAGGCAGATCGTTGATGTATATGAGAAATAGGAGAGGTCCCAAGATGCTGCCTTGTGGCACTCCAACGGTTATTGGTAGAGTGGGAGAGGTTATATTGTTGATGGCTACACATTGGTGTCGATCACTAAGATAGAATTAGATATAGTCCAGTGCATGGCCTCGGATTCCATAATGATGGAGTTTATGTAAGAGGTAGTTGTGATTAACAGTGTCAAAGGCCTTTCTCACGTCAATGAAAGAGTCCAATTGGAAACTAATTTTTGTCAAGGGCTGAGTAAATTATATCAAGGAGACTAATAATTGCATCGTTGGTACTCTTTTGGGAGCAGAAGCCAAACTGACAGGGGCTAAGTATGTCAAATTTTATGAGGTAGGAGTAGAGCTGTTTGTAGATAATTGTTTCAAATATTTTTGATAGTATGGGTAGGTTTGATAGTATGGGTAGTATGGGTATGGGTATGGATGGAAGGAAGGAGAGATGGAGGGAGGAAGGAAGGGATGGAGGGAAGGGAGGAAAGGGATGGAGGGAAGGGAGGAAGGGATGGAGGGAAGGGAGGAAGGGATGGAGGGAAGGGAGGAAGGGATGGAGGGAAGGGAGGAAGGGATGAAGGGAAGGGAGGAAGGGATGGAGGGAAGGAGCTGATGGAGGGAGGGAGGAAGGGAAGGA